TAGTGCTTTTCAAGCAGTTGTGTAATTGAAGACCAGTAGGGCTTGAATGTTGAAATAATAATTCAGGGATTGAAAAACCATTGCTGTTCTCATTTTTGTTCACTCAGGCTCAAGCTGTTGTTTCTGACTTATTTGTGTTACTTTTGATGTTCAGCAGTAAGCATGATGTAGAATAAATATATTTGTGTGCTAGAAAAAAGGATTTGTCCTGTTACACCATTAAGCTATAATTGACATTTCAAAGGAATTGAACTCCAGCAGAAAGCCATTTGAAAGCAGTGACCTATTTTTTTCCCCCGAAACAGCCTGTTTGTTTTCCAGGAATGCAGGGTTTCAAACAAATACTAATGAATATTGGCAGATTTTGTCCCTGCTTGCAAATTCTGCTGCAGCTTTCTCTACCCACTTTTAACACACATTCTGAATGGTAGCTCTTCTGCTAGTTTTAATTTGGTTTGATGGTGCTGTGTTTTCTACCCTAGAGACCCTAGAGCTGTGCCTTAGCATCCTAGAATCATAGAGTTGGAAAGAACCATTTGGACTTCCATGTCGACACCCCGCCTCCACCAGTGCAGGAATCAATACTAAAACATGTTTCATAGATGACCATCGAGATTCCTTTCAACACCTCAGTGAAAGAGAACTCATTATCTTCCTGGATAATTGGTTCTGTTGTTGAATTCTTCTTGGTATTGGGAAGAGTTTTGTTTTTTTTAACATTCAATTAAAATCTATCTTTCTGTAAATGTGATTTCCTTATTCCATGTCCTGCAATCTGGAAGGAAAAGAAAATGCTGCATGGCATTACCAATAACTGCCCTGGCCCTATCCAAAAGTGTTAATTCTGGCCTCTCAACATGGAAAGATGTCCTACCTTCACAAAAGGTATATATATACTTGCAAAAATATGTAAGCCCAACATACTACTTAGTCCAATTGTATTATTACCAGGAACCCTAATTTACAAAATAGCAAAAGAACTCACAAAATAGCTTGGGGTTCTCATAGAGAGGAGCAAATATTCTGTCAATTCTCTAGTGTCTCCAGAAAATCAAAGACCTAAAAATAGATTAAATTATGATTCCATTTGATGACATCGCACTCTTCATGTTCATAGATCCAAAAGTAGTGAAAGAATTCATTACAGCTGTATCTGCAAAAAATGGGGAACAGATGAAAAGGTTAGTGATTTGCTAACTTTTAATAGAACTGATCCAACTGTGAAAAAGCATTTCTGCAGCTTGACAAGCTTATTTATTAAAGGTCTGGTAGGGCTTGGCATATTTCTGTATTCTGCAATGGCTTAATTTGTATGACAAGGATGAGACTGAATTTGATTTAAAACCTACAAGTTTATTATTAGTCTTCATATTTTCTAGTATGCTGATAACACATTGGTAAAAGATGAATTAAAAATAATACACTATATTGATTTTTTTGGATGATTTGAATTGAAATTTAAATGTTGATATGTGTTTGTGCTGTATATACTATTTTGTGGTTTTGGCTAGCCTTGATGGACATTAAGTAATCAGTAGGGATGGTTTTAAAACAAAACATTACTGTACTGTATAAGGAATAATTTCAAAAGCCCAACATATCCTATTTCCATATTTAGAAGAACGGAGCAAAAGGATTCTGTGCTGCCTTAGCTCACTGTACTTAGGTTGGTGGATCTCTTCTTGTTCTGCCAACTTGACTAAATCTCAAGGCCAAGATGCAGTAGAGTGACATTCTTATAGAATAGAAACAAGGACATGATTGTCTTGCTTGTTTGTAGAGGTAAAATCTGAAGATTGTGGAGTTATTATTTTTGTTCCCTAAACCATATGTCAACCCTTGTGATATACAAGAATAGAGCAACATGAGGGAATGAAAGAAAACACTTTTCATTTAACAATTCTGCATTCATTACATTAAACTGATTTATTAGTATATTTATATAAGTTATGTCAATTGTAATTGAATTTTTTTGAATATATCATTCAACTGCACATTGATTCGTGCCTCACTTTTTTCAGGACCATTGTAACTTTCAATGGTTACAAACAAATAGGTTTAAGTCAAGGACTCCTTATATTGTAAGTTATATTAACAGAATCCGGCAGGTCTGAAAGAACAAACTTAATGTGATTATTTTTAATTGCTTGATTTATTAGGATTTCCTAAGTTTCCTTCTCTGACTGTTAAGCAGCTGGGGGCTTCTACATCTCTTGTCTGATTGTGTCGTAAGCAGCATCTCTTCCTTTTGTTCTCCAAGGTCATCCACAAATTCCATTACAAAAAGAAAGTATGCAAACCCAATGTCCTTTTGAAGGCGCCAACTGTGGTTTAATGAAGATAGCTATTCCTTTGTTTCCTAAAGCTCTAAACCCACCAGAGACCACTGCCTTATGATCTCCTCACAAGAAGCAACTATATGGGACAATCTCAAATTGGGCAATCTCAAATCCTTTCCTTATCTGGAGAGGAATTATGAAGAGCTGTTCTATTTACCAGCTCTTCATTCTGCTGTAGTCAATAGTTCTGCTTCTTGAGTTCACCATGTCTTTCCTGGATATCTCCCTAGCCAGTTAAATTTCCATAGAGTAATTTTTCCTCCTATGAAGCAGTGAAAGGGGAGAAGATACTGGGGGAAAATACAGACAGTCCTCAACTTACAACTATAATGGAGCCTGGAATTCCCATTGTATGTTATGATGGTTGTAAGTCAAGGCACCCATGTGACTGAACTGATTTTTGTGGCAGTTCTAAGCAAATCCATTGTGTGCAATAAGTGGTTTTTGCCAAAAATCAGGCAAAAACATTATAAATCTTGGTCATGTGAATGGGTCTCTATGAATGGCTGTAAATGTGAGCCAGTTCCTGAGTGCCCGAAATTCGATCTTGTGACCATGAGGGAAGAATCTTGAATCCAGATTGTAAATACATTGTGGGGTTCCATTGTAATTTCTAACTGTTGCTAAGTGAACAGTTATAAGCTGAAGACTACTTGTAAATTTTCAGTTGAATGGGATTATTCAAATCAAATTGAAACGTAAGAAATTTTCAAGAGCCTTGGGGCTGGCTGATCATCTAATTCCACACCAGCCTGTTGTAAACCTTACCAGAACATTCCCTTGGCAACCTATAAATCTATCCTCAAGATGCCAATGAATGATATCTTCTTTCTAACATTTGGCACCCTAAATTTTTATTTGTTTCTTCTGGGGCTAAGACAATTGTTTCCTTTGAAGATAGTAGACAGCAGACTGATAATAGGTAACCTGAAATGTATTAGTTTATTACTTATATATATTTATCCATGCATCATTTCTCCTTTTTCTGAAATATATAAATATCACTGCATCTCTTTGGTTTAGAGGGCAGCTCTGTAGACAGGCAGCATGTGGGAAATGGGGAGGTTAGATTGCTGAATTAAATAGCTAAGAAAACATTAACTTTCTTTGTTCTGTTTCTTATTGATTCTACTGGACATGTTTTCTGCCGTAACAAATATTAGCTCTACTGAAGCATTAAGTGGGCATTAAAATGTACTTTACTATTCAATAGAAAACCCATGACCCATTGGGTCATTGTTTCAGAGATACTTCCTTACCTAAACAGAGAAACACAACTTCTGCAGGCAGGCAAAAAAATTCAGTAGCAATGGGAGCAACATTCAACTTCCTGTTGGCTTCCCCACTGAATTTCCTTGTGGGAAGTGGGCAGTGAACATTGGAAATCTTCCTTCCTTCCTTCCTTCCTTCCTTCCTTCCTTCCTTCCTTCCTTCCTTCCTTCCTTCCCTCCCTCCCTCCCTCCCTCCCTCCCTCCCTCCCTCCCTCCCATTGAGTCATCCTTTCAAAGGCGCTTCCTTACTGGATTTCTCCGTGTCTTTAACAGTGACACAGCTTCTAATATACAGTCTTCACTGGAAAAGTTGGGATACATTCAGATATATGTCTGCCTTGAAAATAACTCATGCTGAACTGTATATCATAGTCAAACATCAGTACAGGAAATGTTTTATGACATTTTGTATTATGTCATAAACTGCTTTATAATACTATTTATATCATTGAATGTTTTATAAAATTTGACAACTTTCATTTCCGGAGGAATCATGGGCTCTGGATTTTGGATACATTTTGGAAGTTAGCCTATTTGAAGTACCTCGGTTGAAAATGTGTTACACTATAGTGTACCATTTCACCCAGTTAAAGATTATAGGAATCCGAGTTCAGTAGTATATAGATTGTACATAATGATCTACTAAGCACATTTAGCAAAAACAACTCTTAATTATGTTTACTGGTTAATGTGGTTTTGTGAAAAACAAACTGTTATGTGGATGATTTGGCTTATTTGGAATCCTGGAAAAGAGTTTATGTGTGTGTATGTATGTGTGCACATGTGTGTACACATGTGGATGGAGATGGATATTTTAAATTGCCCCGTAGGAGGCACGATCATTGTATTTACTCCGTTTGTGTAGAATCTGGATTTAGTTTTGATTTCCTCGGTTACATGATCTCTGATAGTAACTAACTTGGGGGGGGGGGATCCTGACAAAGTTACTAAACTGCCGTTTCTAGAATATTAATTTGACTACAGGAAGTCCTCATTAAGCGTAGGGTGACCATTTGTAGTTATAACAGTGATGAAAAAGTAATTCTGCAATTAGTCCTCACATTAACAATCTAGGCAGGCCTTCAAAGCAAAAGAAAGCTGAAGTAAAATCATAAGCACAGTCACAGTTTCACTTAGTGTGACCACCTCACTTAAGTGAGTTGCTGGTCCCAATTGGGGTGGAGGACTACCTGTAGTTACTTTTGAGACACTATGCCTATTGCAGCTGTATAAATAACAGATATTTATACAGGCCAGTTTTTAAAAGAACTTTGCTTAAAAAGATAGTTGTGGTTTTACTTATTAAACTTTCTGATCACAGAACTTCTGCTGAATAATGGCAGTTCTTGAACAGGTAAACCTCATTAAACGGCATGTGTTCTTTGTGTAGGCTGTGAGGATATTATTGCCGAGAGCATCTCACTGGAAACCTTAATTGCCATTCTCAAGTGGAGCTCCCAGGCTTATGGCTCCAAGTGGGTATACCGCCAAGCACTGCATTTCCTCTGTGAGGAGTTTTCCCAAGTCATGACTTCAGATGTCTTTTATGAACTTTGCAAAGACCACTTGCAAACTGCTATCCAGTCAGACTACTTACAGGTAATTGTTTCTTCCTATTCAATTATTTTTATTAAATGCCAAATCAGGCTTTCTTACTAGTGGTATGGAACAGAAGCATGCAGATCCCAAAGCTTTGACCACTGGAGAGAAACAGAAGAAGAAGCAAAACCTTGCTTGAATTATTATGTGCAGAACGGGTTCTTCCTCTTCTCTTATTCTGGCATTTATACACACAAGTTGCTTGCAGAGGTAGTGATTAAGGAAAGCATTCGCCTTTGCTGGCATATAACCCAGCCCAAACTGACAGTATAAACTATTGCTTGAAAGCTTAATAATAGCCTAGAAGCAGTTGCAAATTATTTTAAGTGAAACTCTTTTAGGTTTAATTTTGGTCTTGCCTTTTCAGAGGTTTATAGAAATTATATAGTAGTCTCACAACTAACAACATACATTTGTGGCAAGAGAATGGGAAACCCAGGCTCCTCATTGAAGTACACTTTTCTTGTTAGAAAGATACTAAATCTCCTTAATTTTGACTACTTTTAATTCCACCACACTCCTGTTCTAGTTCAGTAAATTAAAAAACTCCATTGATAATTGTTACCTAATTCAAAAAAGCTTCTCATCTGCATTAAATATTACCTTGAAAAATATATCTTTGTATGCTTTTTTGCTCTGATTATATAGCATGAAAATTGGAAACTTTGGTTCATATACTTGTCTATGGAGATTCTCAGTCATCCAGGTCATAATTATCCCAAATGTGCTTTTTCATGAGGCAGCTGGAGTTTCTTGTTTTACTTTGAAGACATTTCACTTCTCATCTAAGAAGCTTCTTTGACTCTGACTGGATGGTAGGGAATGGAAGGATTTATACTCCTTGCAGACAGCTGGTCATTTGCATTCTTTTAGAGAGTTGTTGAGGCCACCTGGAGGTTTATCTGTGTCATCAGAGTCACCTGAGTAGAAAGATGATATCATATCCCTCCCCTTCTGTTGAGAGAGGGCTGTGCAATTTTGACATAAATGGCCTTTTTTGACCCCTCTTTCAAACCAGCTGTCTGTCCAAAATGTGGACTTTGCTGTCCTCAAAAGAGTGGCCTTTGTGTTTTAAATGCCTTTGTTTTTTAAATACCCTAATATTGGAGAAACAAAACAACTACTTCATAAATATATGGCACAACATAGGAGAACAAACCAATCAGAACAAAATTCAGCAGTCCATCTGCATTTAAAAGACACACAATTTACACACACATACACGTAATGAAAAGTAGAATACTGTAACAAAGTTCCTTTGTAGAATTAGCAGTGCTAGTAATAAAAACTGTAGGAGTTTGACTGAAATGCAGTGAGCAACAATAGAATATTGTGTTATAAATATTTGAAATTAAGGAATTTAATTGGCTGTAATTTATTATTAATCTAAACTTTATTAGAATAAACACTGTTTGGCCTAAAAACTAATTTGATGGTTCTGTGGATTGACCTCAGACTATGTGTTTTTATGCTTTTAAATCCCTGTTTAAATCTTCAACAGGCAAGTGAACAAGATATCTTGAAATACCTTGTGAAATGGGGTGAACATCAATTGATAAAAAGAATTGCAGATCGAGGTAGGTGTTTAATAGATAATATGTTTCATTGTTAATAAGGAAATTCTCATATTTAATCTTTAAATGCTGACTGAAACATGCTTTTTAGTATGAAATGCAGTGCTTAGGAAGCTGACATTCATTCATTCTATCCACTTTTGTCTACAATACTACTAATACTTGTGTGTCAGAAGCACCGAAGTGCTTCCGTGGTGAAAGGATTTGCTGGTGATATCACCATTGCCTGGGGGAGTACCCTGTTATTAAGAGCAGCAGGCCTTTTGACACATTGATATATGTTGCAGTTATCCACTGCAACTCTGAAATTCTTTATATTTTCATCTGTTTATGTTGTGTATGTGTCTGTTTTGCTAGCTAGTTTAGCTAATAAATGTGTGTAGAGTAGTGCGCAATTTACAGCCACAGTTGGTACTGGAATTTTGCTCATAAGTCACTGCGATCATAAGTTGAGGTACCTTTGATTTTGTAATTTTTTTTATGATCATCGTTAAGCAGGTCTCAGCAGCTGTTAAACAAACCATGTGTTCATTAAGCGAACCACATGTTCATAAGTGTGAATCCATTTTATCTAAGTGTGAATGGCAAAAAAGTCAGAATACACGAGCATCTAGCTGTGGGATGTTGCAAGCTGGTTGCTAAGCACCCAAAATGGGATTACATCATTATGGGTGTGGTCCGGCAGTCATAACTTAGAGGACATACTTTTTTCCAGTATGTCATAACATTAAACAACCAGTTTTAAGTTGAGGACTACCTGTACCATGCTTTTTCTTTAAATTAGAATATTGAAGGAAAAAGCTCAGTACGTACCTGATAGTCCAGTTTACCAAGCCACCACATTTAAATGTAATCCATATATTTGACCGGTGTACTATATATTGCGATGATGATGGTGATGGTGATGATGATGATGATGATATTATCCATTCAGTCATATCAGACTCTTGGAAATTCTATGGACCAGGTCTCTCCACATCTTCCAATCTTGCACTGCTTCTTTGAGTTGTTCGATGTTCTGGCTGGTGTCAGCTTTGAACGTATATTGCAGTGATGAGAAGGCAATTCTAAGATGTTATGACATTAAAATCCTAAATAAAGTATAAATCAGCATGGGTCCCCCAGACTCTCTTTTCTGGTCAGCAGAGTTTCCACTCAGACAGAAGTCAGAAAAAATGTATGATGAGCATTAAAATAAGCTTAATAAAGCTTTTCAAACAAAAGAGAAACAATACTGTTCCAAAAATCGAAGGGCAAAAAAGTAGTCCCTATGGTTACCTCAATTTTAGCTTCTAGCATCTCTGTTTTAGGGAACATGCTTATACGTAAGTAACAGTAATGTTACTTATATGATAATAGGTCTCAGATCAGCTTACAGTAAAAATTAACTCAAATAAAAAAAAAACTAAAGCCATTAAAAGAAACTTTAACAATAGCATTTAATAAATAAATAAATATAGAAGTTCTTTTATTTGGGTTAACTTTACAGTAAGCTAGTCCGAGACCTGAATTTCATATACAGTAAGTAATGTTCATAAGTAAGAAATAACAAAAAATTAGAATAAATATGTCTTTAATCATTTTTTTTAAAAAAAATATTAGAACACATAAGCAAAACAATTTATTTAATTTGTCAGAACCCAATTTACTGAGTGGCACGGCTCATAGTGTGAACAAGCGTGGTGTAAAGAGGCGAGATCTTGATATTGAGGAATTAAAAGAAATCCTTTCCCCTCTCTTACCGTTCGTCCGCACTGAGCACATCCTGCCTACGAGTAGTGAAGTACTGACAGATTCAGTAAGTATATTTTAAAGTTTCCTTTGAATCCTCCTGCAGCTTTTTATGCTGCTGTCCATGAGAAAAGTACAGAAAAAAAATGGGCCGGGAAGAGTCCAATCAGGTTCAAGGGGGTTGTTCATTTGGTGATATCCAACAGATCACCCAATCACCACCAAAGAACAGATCTCTCACCCCTGACTTAGATCATTATGTAAAATTTATTGTGGTTTTGGAAGCTTTGGGGTACATGCTATGATTCTCGGTTTTTTAAAATTTGTATAGATACAGTTCTATTCTTTACTGGTGACTATCATCAAGTCATACATGGTTTGTTCTTCTATACTTAAAAATAATTGTTACCTTTCTGATGTGATGTTTTCTTTTAAAGATGAAGAGAGGTCTCATTAGTACACCTCCTTCAGACATGCTGCCAACAGCAGAAGGGGGAAAGTCAAATGTGTGGCTGCGACAAAAAAATGCCGGAATTTATGTGAGGCCGAGGCTGTTCTCACCATATGTGGAGGAAGCTAAGGTAAAATGATGTATTAATGCTGCCATCCACCTCATAAATAGCTTGCGGTTTACCCAGCCTGCCATGTAACGCATCTGTTTTATATTCAGAATGGTATTTAAAATTTATTATGAGTTGGAAGTGCAAAAGTACCTAGGTTAATATGACTTTGAAACCTTTAACAGACATCTGAAAAACCTTTAACAGACATCTGCAAGCAGACATCAATATTTCTGAATATTAAGTCTTCCTTTTTCCAGGTTCTCATCCTGGATTCACTAAGGATTCTTTACAGCAGCGGTTCTCAACCTCTGGGTCGCGACCCCATTTGGGATTGATCGACCATTTCACGGGGGCCGCCAAGCAAGGCTGTCCGCCATTTTTTTACCCTTTTCCGCCGGGTGCCTTACCTCCCTTGGGCTGGGCCAGCTGGTGGCCCAGCCAGTGGTCGGCCTGCTCCGTCTCTGCCGCTTGCCAGCTATGCCTCGGCCGGCGCAGGGGGCGGCACATGTATAGCGCTCCTGGGCAGGGAAAGTCCTCGACTTAACGACCGGTTGGGTAGTCCTCAACTTACGACCAGTTTAGTCCTTGACTTACGACTGGTTGGGGGTCGCGGCATTAAAAAGGTTGAGAACCACTGTTTTACAGTATATGACTATCTGATAAATTACAGATGAGGTCTCCAAACTTTTGGGCACCAGGGATCGGTTCCATGGAGAAAAGTTTTTCCGTGGACCGTAGTGTGTGTGGGTTTGAGTGCTGCCTGCATCTCATGGATGGGGCTTTGCTTGTTTGTGTGGACTGGTTGCTGGCATGCCTGGTACCAGTCCACTGACCAGGGATTGGGGACCCCTGAATTAGAGGGTAGAAAAGCTTCCATCTCCTTAGTGCTGGTATCTCCAAAGAAACAGGATTTCAGATTTTTTTTTTCCACTCTACCCGCTGAACACATTTGAAAGATTGATTTAATCTCTTCTCATCTCTTTGAGTTTTCCCTGAGCATGCTCCATCCCCTTCACCTCCATACACATATACACTTTCCAGTTTGTCTGGACAGAGGAAGGCATCCTCTTCCTAAACAGAACTGAGCCATGACTGTCAGCCTCCTGTGTGTGCAGGAAGGAACTTTGTGCTTTTATTTACAAGAGAAAGAATTGCACACTCTTTGTGAATGTCTTCTTCTATGGACTGCTTTCAAGAAGAAAGGCTTCCCACCCACTTTCTGCCTACCAGAGGTGTAGGGAGATATAATCCACATCTTTGATGCAATTCAGTTTCCCAGAACGGTCATACAGTGTGAAATCTGATCCTGTTTTCTGTTTGTGTGTTATTTATTCAAGATAATACTATACTATAATGCAAATTTTGTATGAAGATTTTTTTTTGCAACTCTTGTTCTTTGTACAGTGAAATCCTTTGATATTTTTGGTTATCAGCAATATTTCAGGTAATATGCAGGTGGTTTGTGTTTGTAAGATTGATGAATTAAGACCCACATTAGCAGAGTAGCTTCTTTCGAATATTAGTGAGCCCATTAAAATAATCTGAATGATTTACATGAAAAAAAGGATTAGTGAGTCATAAGAGTAGAAGCTGCCCATGTTTAATATAAAGATTATATAAAATTATACATAAAGGAAAGAAAACTATATTTTCTGAAATGTAACATTTTATTATCTATTCTTATCTACTATTATATGGTCACTTTTTTAAAAAGAAGGCTATATCTAGTATTTATTACCTTTTTATATCAGTACATTAGAGCAAAACATTTCTTTTACCTTTGTCGTTTCAGTCACTTCTGGATGAGATGATGGTAGAACAAACTGACCTTGTCCGTTTACGGATGGTTAGAATGTCCAATGTACCAGATACCCTCTACATGGTAAACAATGCTGTTCCACAGTGCTGTCATATGATAAATCACCAGCAAATGACCAGTAATCAGTCCAGTCCTCCTTCAGTTGTAGCCAATGAAATTCCAGGTATGCTTATAAACCCAATTCATAAATACATTGTTATTGGTTGCAGAATTCTTTAACTCTGAAATACCAGAATCGACATGATTAGAATTTCATGAAAAAATAAAAACAGGAGGACAAATGTATGATAATGAAAATAGGGTCATAATACCCTGATAATTTTTAACAGGGCATTTCTAGATATCTTCATTGCAAAGAAAAAAAAATGAATGTGGGAATTTTGTCCTGTACAAGCTGGTCCAATGTAAATATGTTAATAGAAAAAATATTTCTCCCTTTTCCCATTTCTGTAAGTTTAGACAGAAGTAAAATGCATTAGTTCATCCATAATGCATACTTGCACAATTCATAAATTCACATTAGTTTGGTATTTTTGATTAATGTAAGACTCACTTTAAAAATACATACATTTCTGCATAATCAAAAAAGAAATTGGTGGATGTTTATGTTTGACATAATATATTCATATTAAGAAATACCACAAAGATTGTTGATATACAACAAGATGTAGCCATGGTTGCTTCAAGTTTGGGGTACAGCATGTGTATTAGAACATGCATAAATAGTGGATGGTGTTCAAAGGTTCTTGTGATGCCAGAAATTTTTATGGGCATTCTTCATTTAAAGTTTATATATAAGAGAAAGACTTTTATAAAGCAGTCCTCCAAATGCTGACCTTCACTGAAACTAATCCAAGAACGAAGCTTAAATGAACTGCCAAAAGTGAATTTCAGGAAGACAAGTATGGTGCCAGCACTCAAGAATTAGCTTTTTGCCAGCTGCCAATATAGTATTGGGAGTACAGGTATTTGATCCTGTCCCATGCTTTGCTACTCACAGCAATCCAGTAAGAGAGAAGAAAACGGGATGCCCAGATTTGGCTAGAAAACTGCTTTTTATTACACATGTTCCTCATGCAAAAAAATCCTTGGGAGTTGTGAACAGCATAATAAAAGCTAGGCTGCATAGCTGCTACAGTTATCTTACGGTTATGATCAAGAAAATTGTTGTTGAACACAAACCGTCAACCCTTGAAATTAATTCCAGTCACTGGATTGGTATAGGATTATCAGCTGGTGATGATCAGCCTTGATCAGTGACCAGAATAGTTGAAGACACTGAGCCAAGCTGGATAGTACTTGTAAGGACAAATAAATTTGTGGTGGGTCGGGTGACTTTGAAAGCTTTGGGGGGGGGGGGGAAAGGCCACAGTGGGCAACATGAAGATGAATGAAGCTGGAATATTTCAGGAGGATTTTTTTCCCCTTTGGGAGGTAGTTGGATCCTTGAAAAAAAAAAAAACCTATAGAAAGCTTGTTTGTCTTACATAGCAGTTTTCATTTATTTCCCCAATTCAAAATGAATTAAATGGAAATTAAATAACAGACAGATTTGGAAACTGCAACAAAACTCTGTTAAAAATTATCTTACAATGTATTTAAGGGACAGAGGACAGTACAGCTGCATTTCCTTCATTTCCATCTTATAGTGAACCCACTGAAAACTACCATTCAGACCACCTGAATTCAGTATAAGCACCTGAAGACAGGACAAGAAACATTGAATGGAAACTAATCAAGGAGAGAACCAGTCTAGAACTAAGGAGAAATGTCCTGACAGTTAGAACAATTAATCAGTGAAACGATTTGCCTCCAGAAGTTGTAAGTGGTCCAGCACTGGAAGTTTTTAAGAAGAGACTGGACAGCCATTTGTTTCCCGCCTGAGCTGGGGATTGGACTAGAAGACCTCCAAGATCCATTCCAATTCTGTTATTCTGTTATTCATATTGGCTAAACTAATGGAAAGAGGTAGAATGAAGAGATTTATTGGAAAATATTAGTGGGGAAATACTGTAAAAGGAGTTAGACATTAGTTGTACCGGCAGCTCGATTGCATAACATTAGATAGGATTCCCACATGTGCTGCAGAGTGCATCTCGACCCATAGACAAATTTGGAAATACTTGGGAGGATGGGTAGTGTTGATGATCCATTTTGCATAAAGAACATCCAGAAACGATAACAGAATAACAGAATTGGAAGGGATCTTGGAGGTCTTTCTTCTGGTCCAATCCCCAGCTCAAGCAGGAAACTCTATGCCGGTGCCGTCGCCCGAGTCCTAGGCCTTCAGCTGGGTTTTAAAAAACCTTTTTGCTTTAGGCCTCTGCCGTGTGCAAAAAAAAAAAAAAAAGGTTCAATCAATTAGTCAATTTCAACTTCTCGCAGGAAAAAAAAATCTTGCAAAGTTGGAATTGATTGATTGAACTTTTTAGTCCCACCCAGTCTGCCGTTACCACTGCAGCCACGCCCACGCAATGGGCCACACCCAGCCAATGGGCCACACTCACCCGGCACCCAACGATGCATAAGTGGTTTTGGGTTGCAGTTTGGGCACTCAGTCTCTAAAAGGTTTGCCATCACTGCTCTATACCATTTCAGGCAAATTGTTGTCCAATTTCTTCTTTAAAATCACCCACAATTTCTGGAGGCAAGCCGTTCCACTGATTAATTTTTCTAACTGTCAAGAAATTTCTCAGTTCTAGGTTGCTTCTCTCCTTGATTAATTTCCACCTGTTGCTTCTTGTCCTGCCTTCAGGTGCTTATACTGAATTCAGGTGGGAAAACTGATCTGAATGGTAAACTTTTCAGTGGGTTTCACTATAAGATCGAAATGAAGGAAATTCATCTGTACTGTTCTCTGCCCAACTTTGTACCTTGAGTCATTATTGCTGACACATGTCTTTCTGAACAATTGCTTTTGGATAAGTTCTTTCTTAGCGTAAATATCTACCTTAAATAAACTTGGGCTCTGTTGAAGCTCATTACATGGATGCAGAACAAATTTCAATTCGGATTGTTTTTGGTTTGTTTTTTCTCAGTTCCTCATCTCTCTGTTGTTAAAGAAATGGTCAGACGGCTGCAAGAGCTCCGCCACACTGAGCAAGTCCAGCGAGCTTATGCTCTGAACTGTGGAGAAGGAGCCACGGTCAGTTATGAGATTCAGATCCGTGTATTGAGGGAATTTGGACTTTCTGATTCTGCTGCTGAGTTGTTGCAGGTATGAAGCATTGAAGGCAGCATGCAAGTAAGCTGGTGGAACCTGCATGCATTCAATGTCAGAAGTAACTAGCATGTGCAAAAATGTTGAAGAGTGCACTCATTCACGGAGGAAAGCTTAAAGGGAACATTGCAGTTACATATTGTAATGTCAAAAAAGAATAGGTCAGATGATCTGGTTTCTAACTGATGAGCAAGAAAGTATTCCCATTGCCCCTTTATACTGCTCTATTCTAAATGTGAGTTATCTACCATGAAAAACAATGAGAATGCTTAATAAAAAGTGTAGTTGTCTAAAGCTTTAGGTTCAAATATGCTGATAAAAAGATGTTAAAAACCCTAGACCGGGGGTAGGCAACCTTGGCTCTTTTATGACTCGTGGACTTCAACTCCTAGAATTCCTGAGCCAGCCATGCTGGCTCAGGAATTCTGGGAGTTGAAGTCCACGAGTCATAAAAGAGCCAAGGTTGCCAACCCTGCCCTAGACCTAAAGCCCATACAGTACAGAGTCACCCTATCATGATCTACAGGATGAGAATTTATGTAGTTTTATGCTTAAGATGGAACAGGAAGAGTTACTGTATTTTGCCCACTTGTCCACTCTGTAATTAGATACGTATATAGATCCCATTGGGCTGGCATGTTATGTTTGTTTTGCCCAGGCAAAGTAATTGTAATGCAAACATACCAAGTTTCCATATTGTTGGCATGGAGGACAAAGTACGACTATCCATTTATCTGTATGGAGTTGAAGAGTTGAAATGCAGATGTTTGTGTGATCTCTCCCTCCATTTCTTGTTCTGCCTTTCTGCTGCAGAATCCTCACAAGTTCTTCCCTGACGAGCACTTTGGAGATGAAAGCCCACTTCTGAGCTTGAGACAGTCAGGCCGATGTCGTGTGAACAGCACGCCCACTGCAGAAACCATGTTTACAGACCTAGACTCTTTTGTGGCCTTCCATCCACCACTGCCTCCTCCCCCCCCTCCTTACCATCCACCAGCAACTCCAGTTCACAGTCAGTTCAAAGTTGGATGGAAGCAAAGAGCCCAGAGTCAGCATCCCTCACGTTCTTTTTCTTACCCTTGTAACCATTCACTCTTCCATGCCAGAACAGCTCCCAAAGCTGCCCTGCCCAATTATTTCTCCAGTGTGAAAGGCACACCTCCAGATTGCACTAATACTACAGGCCTGGGAAGACAGACAGTTGCAGCTGCAGCAGCTGTGGTGGCTGCTGAAAAGCAAGTGGTAAGAGCGTCTTTTTATTTTATGCACACAATACATTTTTAAATTTAAGAGATTTTTTTTAAAGTTGTATATTTTTTTTACCTGTTTGTAAGCTACCCAGAGTCATAAATATGAGATGGGTGGCTATATAAAGTAGATGTATATCAGTATTAATTTACTACTGCAGGGTGCTGCGAATAAGACTTGGCATTTTAAGTTTACCATTATAACTGTTGGAAATGGAGCAGGCTTCATTTTGACACCGTTGATTGTGATCAAGCACTGTGGCATTGAATTGTTCTACAGGAGATGGTACAAGCTGTTATATAATTTCCCTGTGATCTAAGTTGATAACAAATGACTGTAACAAGCCCTCCAGATAGATAGATTTATGTGACAAAGCAGATTGGTTTAATAAATTGACTCAAGCTCTTGCCAGTGAAGATGCCAAGACTGCTAGATAGCATTAACGTACAAAAAATAAAGCAAATATTTGTACGGTGTATAGAAGAGATGAAGGTTAAATGAAGCAGGAGGAGAAGCTAACACAATGGGCAACAAACCAAGTTCTTGCACAAGGATTCATTTTCCTCCAAAGGCCATCAAAGGAACATATCAAGAGGTAAAAAAGGGTAAACCAGAATAAGTGAATGTAGTAGCTGAGAATTTTACTCACTTATTAAATCCTTTCCTATAGATTGCATCCAAATTTTCTGTGAAGAGTTTTCTCTTACACTTTTGCTTTTAAGTTAGTTTATGCATAAGATACTAATTTTGGTTCTTCTATGTTTTTATCAAAGAAGGAAATGAAGAAAGTGTATACTTAATTTTTTTAAAAAAAACAACAAATCCTATTAACCAACATGAACAGATTATGTATTAAAACATTAATATATAATATATTAAATATATTTTAATGTTAGAAAGTTATAAATATATAAAATGGCATGGTTCCTCTTACAGAGCATAGTCTATAAATAATAAAAGCTGGCTTTTAAGGACTTATGCATAAAAATCATGAATTTAGTAACGTTTCGTGAAAAGTCACGATGTAAATTATACTAGAAATACGTTCTACTTAGTTAACAGTTCTTCTGCTGTAAGAGGAATAGTCAAATGTGCTTTCTTTTCATTATTAACAAACTTCTCATAATGATTCTATAGGAAACTGCTCATATTTAGATCATTCCTAGTGCTAAGTCCATGTTATTTGCCCAAGTAGTGAAAAAAATATCTCACTGAATGAAGCTGAACAAACTAAAGCTGAATGTTTATGATATCTTATTTAAAATCTAACTACTGATCAACTGTTTTAAGAAGGAAATTATTTGCAGTTATTTATATGTTTACAATTTATAAGATCACTTGAATTTACAAGAGCTTTGATTTGTGAGCTTTATTTTCAAGCATAACTATTCAGATTTTTCCCGTTTGAAATCACCTCTTATTCCTTTCTGAAATTTAAGTCATGCTTGATATAGATTGTTCTAAAGATTTGTTCAAGTCATAAATAGCACTGAGTTGTTTGAGATTTATATTTATATATTTAAATTATTTACAATGGATTTACTTTTAAATAAAAAAAACTGCTATCAGAGTATCATAGAATCATAGGATTGTAAGGGATCTTAGAGGTCTTTTAATCCAAATTCCTGACCAGGAAAGCAATCCTAATAGATTTTGTTCAATAATTGTAATAAAAAGTAAAAAAAAAAAAACAACAACACAGGTACAGGAGTCCCTGTGGATTTTACTCTGTTAGTCCTTGCCAACTCTCGGGGGCAGTGCTCATCTCCATTTCAAGGCCATTGAGTCAGCGCTGTCCGAAGACATTTCCATGACCAGCATGATATCACAGAGCACTGTTACCTTCCAACTAAAGTAGTACCTATTTATCTACTAATAATTGTAATAATTGGGTTACAAATAATTGTTAACAATAGTTAAAATATACTAGCATAATGTCATTATTTGAACATGAATAATAATAAAGATAGAGTCACAAGCAAAAATAACTATGATTAAAAAAAATTCTGATTTCATTTTTTAAAAAGCCTGCTTAGAACAACTATTCCAATCTCTGTGATAAATTTGTTGCTGACCAGTTCCTTGTATTACCAACAAATCATAATTAAAGCATTCTATGTACAGTTATTACTTCTCAGAATCTGCCTATTGAATTAATGAATTCAGTAGGAGCTTCCCATTAATAAGCAATCCAAAATGCATCTCTACAGGAAACACACAAAGTTGACAGGCGTGCACATAGGACTATACAAAAGTTCTGCTTTTGGTAAGATTTTGGGCTATTTCACTTTTCTACATGAATATGACTGTGTTTGTTGTCATGTGTGAATTTTTAACTAGTTTGCTTAGAAAGCCTCAACTCTTCGGGCTCAGATCAGAGCCTTTGATTTCAAAAGCTAACTGCTTACATAAACATTAATATAAAATACTATATAGTTTATGAATAATTATTTCTTACTAGCTTTGAAAAAGGAAATACAATATGATATATAAAACAGGGCAAGTTGGATGTCAGACTTTAAAGCAGGGGTAGTCAACCTCGGCTCTTTTATGACTCGTGGACTTCAATTCCCAGAATTCCTGAGCCAGCTTAGCTGGCTCAGGAATTCTGGGAGTTGAAGTCCACGAGTCATAAAAGAGCCAAGGTTGACTACCCCTGCTTTAAACTGTGTAATGCTGGATTTTTGTAGGGCAATGTAGTCCTGGCACAGCTAGATGACAGCACAAGTTGAAACTGATTTTCTCTTTTTCAGGGTATTCAGCCTGTTCTCAATGAGCTAATGCCGGATATTGCAATGGGTGTGTCAACTATGTCTCTGAAGGACAGGAGGCTGCCAGAGCTTACAGTGGACACAGAGCCTGTTCCAGAAGTTACACCAGGACCCCCTCAGCACATTTCATGCATTCAGACGAGGCACATACATAGTTCACGGAAGAAACATTCAGCTGAGCAAAAACTGGATCCTAGAGAGAATCAGCAGGAATATCCCGATTTCTATGATTTCTCAAATGCTGCATGCAGGCCTTCTACTCCTTCCCTTGCCAGGCACATCCCTTTACCTTCCCAAGGTATCTATTTTGGCCCAGATTTATATAGCCACAATAAAGCATCACCCAACGGCTTAAAAACCACTCAGTTACCTAATCACATCTCTCCTAAAAAACTAGAAGATTCTAGGAGAGACTATGCACTTTCTCAAGAAGGGCATTCACACAGACAAAAAAATGAAACGATACACCTCAATGTCTTAGAACAACCTCCCCAGCGGTTGGACTTGGCTTTGGCTGCCCAGGAGAACCCTGGGAGTATATCCATTCACGCAAGGGGACGAACAAAAATGGAAACGGATTTAACGTATGGCCTAACCTCTAGTAGACCTTCCCTGCCTTTGTACAGGGAAGACATCCATAATGAACCATCTAGCAGGAGATTGGCCAACCCGGAGCCTCTGGAAAGTGAAGTCCAGAGAAATGCAGATCTGGAAAGAGAAGAGGTTGTGAGTAGAGGCAGAAAGTCTCCCGACTTCCTATACAAAAAATCTGCCCTCTGAAAACCCTCCACCTCCACTTCTTCTCCGTGCCTAAGACTTGGGAAAGATCAGTCTTTGAAATCCCTGGCCTGAAATTTTCTCTGGCCAGTTTTTTTTTTCTCCCAATGCCAGCCTCTATATCATTTTTTTTAATTATTATTTTTGTATATACATGGCTTCATTGAGAAATGGCATGCTCCATATTTATTTGGAATGCTGCTTCAGGGTTTATGTTTTCAACAGAGTTTGCTAAAATTCTCAAAAATATATTTTAACTGGCACCTTTAAGAGGAAAATAAAAGGTAGCCTTTTGCACCTGTACATTAATTTTATTAATTTTTATATTGGTATGTTAAACTTCTACTGTCATATTTTATAGGACTGTATGTTCATACTATTTTGAGTGTCTTTTTTTTAAAGAAATCATTTCCCAGTATTCAGTGTGCATTAGGCTGCATACTTAAGATGTATTTTCTTACTAGATGATGAAAATATCTGTCTGTATTTTTTAATGACAATAGGAATTCCAAAGAACAGCACACTTACAAAACTGCTCTGGTTCGGTTTGTAACCTTTCTGCTTTACCACTAATACAAGAAATCCAGTCTAATGTGTAAGCTCTGTTTACCAAGTCTCAGGCTGTTGATGTAGCAAGTGCTCAATAATATCTGTGGCCAGGATTTTCTTTAAAAGTGAGGAGTACAAATCCCTTACAATTTCTGAAAATAATTCTTTTCCTTTTGGAACACGAACACTTTGAAGAAACACTTTCTAAGCCCCTTGGTGACAGGGCAACTAGTGCTTCAAATTTGTGACAGTTCTGTAGACGTGCTTTTCTGATTCTTCATTTTAGAAAGACACATAGAGGGGTAAGTATAAGAAGGCGAGAAGAAAGCAATTGTTTTAACATTTGACATGGGTGTTAATGCTACATTTGGGTAGAACAGCCCTCCTCAGCGGAGAAGTCAAGAGGAATGCTTACTGCCTTTTTTCTGCCTCTGAAGAAATCAAGGGCTGCAGTTTTAGTAACGTTATATATACTTCGTTTTGTGGACAGAAAGCTTATTGAAGAGTAATGTCTACAACTTAATGAGCTATAAACAGTTTAGCACTTAATTTCTTCATTCCTCTCTTGAATAGTTTGGAGTTCGTTGAAGTTGATTAAAACGTATTGAAAAAGAGGTTCTTTGGGGTTTTATGAATACGAAGAGGAGATGCTGGGCTGATAGATTATTGCCACTAAGAATGGCCATTTCAGCAGCCCGTTGTTTCAGGTACTTGCCACTTATTTCTCTTGCATGGACTGGAAAAAATTCAGTACCACTGTGTGGTAATACCTAGCAAAGGCTTGACTTGATATGGTGGTTGATTCTAAAATACAGCTCTTCCATCACTTGAACCTTAGCAACATTGAATCTTTTTTAACATTGTTAGCTAACCTTAAATCTATTTTTAAATACCATGCTTGAGATTGTTGAAATGTACATTTTGTTTAAGTGTTTTTAATTTTTTCTGAGCTCCTTTTTAAAAGTCTCCACTAATCTTTTAGTTCCCAGTCTTGACCCTTTAAGGGGAAACATTGTTAAAGAGGAATGAGAATGAATACCCTGTCCAGATAGTTTACATTACATTAATTTCAAGCTTTGTGTTACATCTTTGTGAACTGAAAAAAATACATTCTGTGAAAAGTTGATTAAGTAATAAGACAGCACTCTGAGGATAAAATAATCATTTATTGTCACTTGTCAAGCATCTTGTTAATAATCTGGAATTTAAACATGTTTTCTGTCAAACTTGTTTCAAGAATGATGCTTTGCTTCAATTTGGGCACTGATAAAAATAAGAATCCATTATTTTGTCATCTCCAGTAGCAGCTCGCTCTCTCTCTCTCTCTCTCTCTCTCTCTCTCTCTCTCTCTCTCTCTCTCTCTCTCTCTCTCTCTCTCTCTCTCTCACACACACACACACACACACACACCAAATCTGTTATGATTTCTGAAAGTCTTTCCTTTTTCAAAAATGAAATTCAATCTTTCTATGTATATTGGCTTTGTCTTGTAGAGATCATGGATAGAGCTGTTTTGATAATTTCTTGGATTTGGGTACACTCCCAAAACAAACTATAGATAAGTCTATTTTAGATGTTAACATTCTATTTCAAGTAGCTTTTTTTCCTACACCAAGCCAATTTACTAGTAAAATGTGATAGAATATAGCAATAGCACTTAGACTTATATACCGCTTCACAGTGCTTTACAGCCCTAAGCGGTTTACAGAGTCAGCATATTGTCCCCAACAGTCTGGGTCCTCTTGTATGCATGAGAAACTCAAGGCACAAATGTTCAGTCTCAAGAGTAGCTTTGATTATTGATTCAGATAATTCATTTAGACTCAGTTTACTTTTTCTTTTACTGTGGAATAGCTTATGAGAAGCATAAAAACATACACTCCATAAATGAAGTAAGCTATCATTTGTAAGAAATGTTTAAGATAAAGGTAATTCTGTAGCAGACCTAAGGACTGTTGTACTACTTTAATAACCTAAGCCTAAATATTCCCATTTGAGCAGAAGACCTAAAGAGTTTGGAGAGGCTGCAGAATTCTGGCTTATTGCTTTTTCCTCTGGGCCACATATAAATGGAATATTAATCCCCATCAGCATTCGAGCTTTGTTAATTACTAGTGTGTTTTAATTACATCTCAGTGAAATTATCTGTGGTCCTCCAGGTAACTCTTCTGACTTTGCATAAGGAATTTCATCCTATCTACCCATCCCTTTTTTAAAGTCATCTTGATTTTATCCTGTGTTTGCAAAAAGCAAAAAAACATTTTTTTAAAATATATGTGACCCAATAAATCAGAGGAATGCAATAGTTTCCCCCCCAATTTTGCTTAAACAAATTAGTAAAAGAAATTGTGTCATAATTGAAATTACTTTTACATTCAGGTGAACAGGTAATTTACCATGATATGTATTTAAAGCTTTTGTCTTCAAAATGCAGGACGCACAATCAACAAAATCTCAGCTCTTCCATGTTACTGTAATAAATGATTATGTATCATTTTTCAAAGCACAGTACATTTTTTTAAAAAAAATCTTAATGAAGTATTGGAATAAATCCATCCAGAGTCATTTCGATATGAGATGGGTGGCAAATAAATTTAATAAATAAATTTGTTAGAAGTCCCAAGTATTCTGTAATCACATATATGGCAGAGATTGTAGCTGAACTAACATAAAATAGCTTCAGATAATTGCTAATATTGTTTTGAATGCATCCTGCAAAGGAAAAAGGGGTTTTAAACTGCAGCTGGGATCCATTTCCACACATGTACAATATTTGAGAATGTTTAAATTTTTCATAGGCACAAGGAGCTGCTTTACCAGTATGTGGTCAGCTGCATTTTTCAGAAGACAAAGGGCTACTATTGTAGAGGGAAGTGCCACACAAGGCATTTTGACATCCACCCAATGTGTTTACAATTTTTTTTTTTTTTTGCAATACTTCAAAGCTACTTCTTGTAGTCCTGCAAGCTTAAAGTAAAATTGCCCTGCTAGCCGTTTAGTATATCTTGTATTTAAGCTCGTCTTTCGGCTTTTTCTGCCTGTTAAGGAATGGAAAAAGGCTAATATCTTCTCTTTCAATACTTTTTTTTTTTACCTTGAAATATAAACCATTTCCATCTGTTATGTAAGTTATTTTGAAAAGGTCTGGAGATACCACTTTTACTCTAGTTACTTCCAATGACTGTGTGTTTGTTTATATGGTGGATGGATATTTGTGGAATGTTGGGGAAAGCTGAAGGATTAAAACTGATGTTTCTATACTTGTATGTATTTCTGAAAGATGTTAAGTGTCCATGATAAAATTCTTGTGCTGTTACTGGTATAAAAAGTGCCTTCAATGCTAAAGGCTCAGAAATTTTCTTAAACCCACTTCATGTCCTATGCAAGTGTTTTTTCTACAACCTGCATAACCAGTACTTTGTAAAATTTGTTTACGCTTCAATTGTACATATTATTTTTAAGAAAAATATAATTTTTATTTAGGTACCGCCTAGAATTGAATTCTAGTCTTGTGTGATGCATTGTAAAACAATACATTTCTCTTTTGAGTACCATTATAATTGTAAAAAGGTTTTCACCTATTTTTCTACTGTTGCTGAGAAGCATGTTAACACTGACTTTATCTTACATATAGTTGGTATTTCAAATAAATGGCTTGTCTAGAAAAATGCAAGTGTAACATACTTTTCATTACAAAGTTCTGCTTCTGTGAAACTAAGTTTTTGAAACTTTTTGAAAGTATGACAGATCTTAATTTGAATGGGCCAAACATATCGCAATATTCATGACCTGCATGCTTTAAAAGTACCAATAAAACTCTGAATTACAGTAGGCAATATCTTTATTTGAAACAATTCAGGTGCGGTATAATGAACATTAAAGGTAGAAGCAAGGAAAACAAAAAGCAGACCCCAATGAAGATCCCAGCATGTGTTCTGAAATAATTGGGAAGGTTATGCAGGTAGGTCTGCCACAGAATATAGATAAAGAAACAATCTTAAGCTTTTCATTATATTATAAAACTCTCATCTGAAATTTTAGGATTTTTCTTTTTAAGTCCACTTTTCATCTTTTGCACTAGTCTTTAGACTTTCAGGTTGAGTTCTGAAGAAAGCTTACTCAGTGCCCAGTATTTTTTCTTGGTTCTAATTCTATACGCTGGCTTGCAGATTTGTTTTCTAGCCTGAGACCATTCATTTCACTTTTAAGCAAGATGATTAAAAGGGATTTCTCTTTATGAGTCATCTGCATTGGAAGTGTTGACTGTATTATTTACTGCATGACATGAAGCTAACCATTCTACATTCCAGCAATTAATGGCTACTCTGCCTTTCAGTGACTTTACAATATTCAAACTAATTGAATTGCCTTAAGGATCACAGTCTATCAAAGCTGCCTTAATGAAATGTATTCTTTATCCTGTTCAAGTGTTTATTATGGAGCTTACTTGATTTCTGGCCAGTCATTAAGTCAAGCCACTTACAGGATTGCAGTAATATAAATATAGAAGCATAAATTTTTTCAGGTAATCCATATCCAAACTGAAGCACGCTTTGGCCCATATATGAAATAAAATGGATGGTTTTGTTCTGGGATGAAGTGATACAGGGTGGGGAAAAAGAGCTAAGGATATTGGCAGCAGTAATTGAAGGGAAAGCACTGGGAAGATTTGGAGAAGTGGGATATGCTATACTGGGAACTGCTGGAAATGATGCATGCCAGCCTTACCCTACTTGCCTTGTAGAATCATTCTGTATATTTGAATTTTGTTTTAGCCAAACTCAGACATTATTCAGTCTTTTGTCCCTGGTCAACTGCAGCTGATCTCAAAGGCTTGGCAGAAGTAATGGAATGTGATGGTTTGTTCCTAGTCTGGAACAAAGCATTTTCCTTTCCACGAATGATCCTACTATTATGCCATTACTGGTTATACTTCACCTCAAGAAAGGATGACCTCACAAATTAGCATATCCAGGATTTAAACAGTCTCGCAGACAGTAGTAAATATTGCAAAGTATATCGTGGTAGGCACTCCAGCCTGCACTGCTTTCCTTTGAGATGATTCAAATATTCCCCATGTTACTGCATTCTACTCAAAGCTTATCATCAAAACAGTAACATAAGAATTGTCCAAAAACAAAGGTAGGAAAGAACCTGTAATGATAAATCTTTTGAGACAGCTAAGAGAAAAGACGTATTTGTGCATGAAAAATTTTGTATGTCCTGGTGCAGGTTATCTATTCTGTAGAAAAGTGATTTGTAACATCAAACGGTTACAACAAATCTGTAATTGATCAATTTAGTTGAATTATATTACAGTTTGCTTAGATCTAATTGTTGATTTATGTGTGGATTTTCAGATTTCTTACTGGATAGAGTAGAAAAGATAATCATTTGGCACTTTAATATCCAAAATCAGTCATAATTCAAGTTTATTGGGGTAATTTCTGTTTGGTATTGCTCTCCAGCAAGGATAGATTTTTATTTCCTTCTGTCCTATAATGTTTGTCAGGAGTAAAAAAAAATGCAGTAAATTGCAGCTTGGCAATACTTGGAGAGCTTTCCTTATGTCAACAAAGACTACTGAAATTGAAACATTCTGTCCGCTAGCACTCCTTCAATACATACTTACCATATGGGTCACTCACTCTTAAAAAATTCTCTGTAATTATGTAAGACAATTGCTTATTAATTCTAATCTGGCATGTACAGTAGCATTCATGAAAATCATGTTTCTTATTTTTCATACCATTCTAAGAGCAATATAAAACCACCCTGCACTCAAGAGGCTATCTTATGGCTATGGCAGTGACTCTTAATTTAAAATATAATGAGAAAAATCATAACCAATGAATAGCCAAAGCTTTCTCTGATGATAGGAATTGGATTGAAATATCCTACTAGATGAGCAAATGCATAATGTGCTTTCAAGTTTAAATGTTTAGAACCAGCCTTTGCTATTACAACACTCACTAACTTAAAAATTAAAATACCATTTTATTGAGGTATTGGTATACAGCATGTGATTGCTGTGAATTTCTAGTAGTTAGGTGATAAATTTAACCAAGATAAAATAGATGCACTTAAATGATGTTTTAAACATTCTTTGCAGTATTAAGAGCTTGTATTCTCTGACATAATTACAAAAGATCACGGCCATATTTTAAAATTTGGTAAATGGCTTTGTAGGCTGCTCTTCCTAAACATTTACAATTATCTTATGTCAGTTTCAGATACTCTTTTCATTCTTAAAAAAGTCAATAGATAATCTGATAATTGTGACCTACCAAAAAGCAATTTACATATTCTGTGCTGGCAGTCAGTCAAAACATATTGGTGATAATATCACTAAGCCTCTGCACTATCATTGCCTACCAGTTAACCACTGTTTATAATACACACTCTGGCCTCAGTCATATTCATTCAGCAGTCATGAATGTCTAATTATAGCTAAAAGTTGTACTTCAACTATTTCAGCAAGCCATAAATGATCCAAATTGGCTTTTTAATAGTAACAGCTAGCAGAATATATCATAATGAATGCCCTAAAACCAAGCAGATATGAAATCTTGCATTCAAATAAGTCTTTGAGAAAGGAGTACCTTGACCCTGAATGCTAATCCATTAAGACCTTTATCTAGATTTTTCCTTTAAGTCATAAAAATATTGTTGTCACCTATAGTTTCTAAATAAGTATCTTCTGAAAACTAACCAGCCCTTTGACACAAGTGACATTCTGTGAATCCATGATCATTTCACTTCTCAGTATAGTTACTAGGAATTGATGTATGCATGTGGCTACAAATAATAAACGCTGCCTTCTAGGAGACAAATCAAGATGAACAAGAAGTTAGATTTAAATTGGAAGGGAAAACCCAGAATTTAGCAGACAGCTGTATATGTAGTCTTTTAAGACTTCCAATCTAGTCTAGCTACAGTAGTACTGCATCTGATCCACCCTCCTCCTCTTTCGAGATTGAAATTCTTCAAAAAATTGCTGAATGTCCTCTCGTTTAACAACCTGTTAACAATAAATAAATAAATAAAACAGGACAGTAGTATGAATATTAAACTATAAAATTTTTCACTGATGTTTGAATAGTTATATTAGGTGTTTAAGAATACAAAGTCAAATGCACCAATCTAACCAAAATAAGAAATGTTCAAAATTTATCAAATATCAAAATTTAAAAGTTTTAAAAGAATCATAGGGACTTCCAGTGCATTATGTGATATTTAAAGTGGCTATAGTTTAGTCAGATACCTTCAATAGGACGCTACAATATAGAATTTTTGAATTTGAATCATTAAAAACTCAATTCTACTGTGTCACTTAGAACAGGATACAGAATTTTTTCTAACCATCCTTCAGATTTTAATTTATCAATGTCAGTTGATTCAACTTTATTCAAAATTCTGTTGGTGAAGTACACTTAAAATCACCTTACTACCTTTTATATATAGTCATTTCATTTATATTAACTTTCAAATTTATTTCCAAATCCACTACCACAACAGAAGCAGGAAGAGGAAACTAAGCAGCAAACTAAACTAATGAGAATGGATACCTTTTTACTATTTATATTTCCACCATTCCCTTTCTTGGAGTTCCAAGAAAATTTGGAAGCTCTGAGATTTTACAAGACTTCTGCACCCCGGATACTTGAGGTAATTTATCAAAAAGACAAACAGCAGGTCTCTCCATTTCAACTGCTAGATTTAAAAACAGTAAGCCTCAATGTTCCAATTCTGCTATCCTCATGAACAAAGAACTAGCAATTCAAATAACAAATTTTGAATATCTTCTATAGTCATAAGTTTACATATCAAATAGTACTTAATTGCTACAAAGTCTGTTACATTTGTTTCTAATTTGCAAATAAGTCTTTTGATTTTAGATTTAAATCTGTATACTTTCATAATCATCTATGGCTAATTGAGAGAAGTTCAAGCTTCTCTTCCCCATTTTCAGACCACTGCTCTAACAAAGGACACAGCTAGGCATATTCAGACCAAACTATCATGAATCTGATATTGATTAGTAACAGCATTATACCAAACAGAATTGTAGGATGTTTCTAAAACTGGGTAGTTTGGCAAAAGGTCATCCAAAATACTGATTGGTCAGCTTAAATTTCCCTCTTTGGAAGCGACTCCAAGATCTTGGAACATTTGCTCAATGATCCTGCTTTGGCTTCAAACAGTTAGCAGAGAGTGAAGACCAGAAGATGCTGTGGAATTATGGAATCACCCTGTAAAAATGCCTAAATATGTTTGATAGACCTCAAGTAATAAAAACAATGTTTCTGTGTTATTTTATTTAGTAACTGACCATTTCTTACTCTTCCCTATAGAATTCTTTATTGAAGTGTATTGACTTGAAAATCTAATCTTTTTGCCTAGCTTGGGATACATTTTATCCATGCTCTAGATATTGGTAGTACATTCCTGCTTGGCTCTTAAGGGGGAAAAGAGGGGAAAGCACTGGAAATACAATTTATCTAAAGAGCTGAAGACTTCCATGTTCCAGGTGATTATTATTAATCCAAATTATATAGGTAACAGCAGCATATTTATTTCTCAAATACGAAAAAGGGCCCTAACAGTCTCACTTATCTTAATACAGCTGGAGATCCATAGATGCAGTTTGTCAAAGTGTCACAGATAA